TGTGTGTGTGTGTGTGTGTGTGTGTGTGTGTGTGTGTGTGTGTGTTTTACAGGCTCTTGAAAAAGCTAAAGAGGCGGGCAGGAAGGAGCGAGTCCTGGTCAGACAGAGGGAACAGTCTGGACATGCAGACCACATCAATTTAGACCTCACCTACTCTGTAAGTCAGGCTTACAGCAGGACAACACTTCTTCATGATCTTCTGCTTTGAAGATACGACTAATAAAACCCCATGCCTGGGATGTGATTTCACTTTTCTGCAATTAATAAAAAGAACAATAAAATGGTGTATTTTCTGGTCAAAGTGGGTTCATTGTAGTACTTTTGATTTATTAAAAAGCTTCTGTCTCAAACTATCTGATTGTTGGTTTAGCAGGAATTTGCCATAACTGATGAGAATCAAAATGTTTAGTTGTTTGTTGAATTGTATTTTTGTTTGTCCCATTGTAGGCAGAGACTTTAGAACAGGGAACAGGTTTGACTTCAGAGGCTTTAYGTCTCAGCTATGCAGACAGAACTCCTCAAAGTTGTTGTTTTTTCTTGTTAGTTTTCTTCTTAATTCTTGGTTAAGTAATTAAACTTTTTTGTTGTTGTACATATTTTAATACCTCTGTCATTACCAGGTCTTGCTCAACCTTGCCAACCAGTATGAGAACAATGAAATGTACCCCGAGGCCCTGAACAGCTACCAGGTTATTGTCAAGAACAAGATGTTCAGTAATGCAGGTGAGCAGATGTAAACATGACAATTCTTCTAAAGTCTCGTTCAACTGTCAGACCAGTTGTTCACTGTAGTATAATCTACACATTCACACTGATTTATTGCTGTTCGATAAAAGTACACAGAAAAAATGTGGGAGACTCCACTAAGCTCCCATTCCTCTGGTAGAGGACCTGAGTTTGAAGTGCAGACAAACTGTTCATGTTAGAAAAGGGATGTGAGCAGAGCTGTTTGTGTGTTAAAAATAATGCTGTCAAATGATTAATATGTTTAATCTGATTAATCCCAAAGTAGCTGTGAATTAATCACGATTAATCTTAAATTTAATATACATTTCTATTGCATATTGATAAAATAAATTACT